GGTAGATGTTGGAGTTCCTGGATATCTGGTGAAAAATGGGTTACAGGACTCAGGACTGTTGGCTGAGCAACCAGGGCCAGCAGCTGCAGAACTACTGGAAGAAAAGGTGTTTACCCATCGCAAATACATAGTGATTGAAAACAAAGAAATAATGATCTGTTACTACAGATCAAGTCCAACAAGAAGAGGATACCTAAAACGAATGCACCAGTTCTGGAAAGAACAACATCTAGAATCAGAAATAATAGAACTGAGACTAGCAGATCAACGCCGATTTATAATACAAAATAAAGTATTCACAGAAACAGAATTGGATGAACTGCAAAGGTTTACCCAGGGCAAAGAAATCAAAGCCTTGCCAGAAGTAATTCAGAATGTAGAGGCAAACCAGGGGGAGCTGATAGTCTGCAATGTTTGATTCATATAAATTTTCTTTATACGAAGTTGCCCATGTCAATTTATAGTTTCTTTCCCAAAGATTTTGCCATTTCTCTAATTCTATATTGTATCCAAAAGATTTTGCCCATATTATCATAGTTTCTTTCACTTGTTCATCTTCCATTTTCAAATTCAATAAAAAGTTATACAATTTCTTAATCAGTTTTTCAAGGGCAACGTCATATAAAGAAAATCTATATAAAATGTTTTATAGATGGCACTGACCACCTTCCAGATTAGCAAAAATGTTTAAAAATATGTCTAGTAAATGTTGGAAATGTAATCAAAATCCTGGTACATATTATCACCTGTGGTGGACATGTATTAAAGCAAAAAAAAAAATAATATGGAGATATATACCTGGTTAGAAAAAATGTTAGGGAAACACGTAGACTTTAAACCTGAGCTTTTTTTATTAGGTATAATTCCAGAAAAATTTGATAAACAAAGTGTATATCTAATATTACATGTATTAACAGCAGCAAGGATTGTATTTGCTCAGCACTGGAAAAATGAAGAAACACCATTGGATGGAGAGATAATTAAGAAAATACTGGACTGTGCTGAAATGGACAGACTTACATTGATGATTAAAGAAAAAGAAGATACAGAATATTTTCAAACACGGAACCTATTTTATCAATGGCTGGAAAACGGGATAGAGAGTAAGAACTTAACTTGTATTACTAAGCAAAATAAATCAACCCAGACAACATGTTGTTCATTAAACACTAATGAAATGTAATAATAGAAAATTAATAAAATATTATTATTAAAAAAAGTAGACAAACAGAACTACAGCTCATCGGCTACTCCATACAAGAAAACACTCTATGGATGGAAATCAAACACTACACCATAGACAGACCACATGTGACCCATGCTTCTCTCAGGATTCCTCCAGATTCCTCCAGACTGCAAAGCCAGCAGTATATCTCTGTGCTGTTTCTCAGATACAGTGAGAGCTCCAGGGTTCACAGCTGCCCATGAACTTTGCAGTGCTGCAGTCAGCCTCCATTCGTGACACAAAGACATATAAGCTGAACCATTTCAGTTATATGGGATCTGAATCACAGGAACATAGGGCAGTACAAACCTTTCTGGATCACTGCAATATTTTTGCCAGAGAAAATCTGCCAAAAATAGATAGTGTTTCTCTCTTATAAATCACCATGTAACCTGATAGAATTTTGACTGTTACAAATGAGAATTTACAAACAGATGGTAGAATGTTATTTGGAACATATATATAATAGCAGTGAGATAACAACAACAACAACAACAGAGTTGGAAGGGACCTTGGAAGTCTAGTCCAACCCCCCGCTCAGGCAGGAAACCCTATAGTATACTATTTCAGACAAAAGGCTGTCCAGTCTCTTCTTATGAACTTTCAGTGTTGGAGCATTCAGAACTTCTGGGGGCAGGTTGTTCCACTAATTAATTGTTCTAACTGTCAGGAAAGTTCTCCTTAGTTCTAGGTTGCTTCTCTCTTTGATTAGTTTCCATCCATTGCTTCTTGTCCTGCCTTTTGGTGCTTTGGAGAATAGAAAAATGTAGTAGATTGTGGTCTACTTTATCAAATGTCTTACTGAAGTCCAAGTACATAATATCCACAGCATTCCTCTGATCCATTAATTTTGTCACCTGGTCCAAGAATGCAATAATATTTGTCTGGCATGTTCTGTTTTTGACAAACCCATGCTGGCTTTTGGTAATGACTTTGTTTGCTCCTAGGTGTTCGCTGATTTGTTGCTTGTTGATCTTTTCCAGAATCTTCCCAGGTATTGAGGTCAGGCTGATAGGTCTGTAATTTCCTGGATCCATTTTTTTCCCTTTTTTGAAGATGGAAACTACATCAGCTCTTTTCCAATCCTCTGGTAATTCCCCAGTGCTCCAGGATCTTTGAAAGATATAGTCCAGTGGTTCTGAGATCACATCTGCCAGTTCCTTCAGAACCTTGGGGTGTAATCCATCTGGTCCTGGTGATTTGAACTCATCTAGGGTGGACAGGTGCTCACTTACCATTTTCTTGCCTATTTTAACTTGTGTTTGTAATCTGTTTTTACGATACTGTTTTTGATAAGTTGGACTGTTTTTCCCTTTTTGTGTAAAAATGGATGCAAAAAACAAGTTAAGTAGTTCTGCTTTCTCCCTGTTGTTTATCACCTCCTTGCCACTTTCTCCCACTAATGGACCAATCATTTCCTTAACCCTTTTCTTGTTTTTTACATGTTGAAAGAACCTTTTTTTGTTATTTTTGACTTTTGTCACAAGCCTTAGTTCATTTTGAGCCTTAGCTTTCCTCACTTCATCTTTGCAGGCTCGGGCTGTTTGCTAATATTCTGCCTTAGTTATGTGCCCCTCTTTCCACTTTTTATTCTTGTCCTTTTTATCTTTCAATTTATCAGAGAGTTCTTTATGCAGCCATGCCGGTTTCTTTTGAGAACTGTTATTTTTCTTCTTTATTGGTATTGTGCTAGACTGGGTTTTTATAATCTCACTTTTCAAAATTTCCCAAGCTTCTTGAGTTGTTTTCCCCTTGAGGATTCTCATCCATGGAATCCTTCCCAAGCTCTCTCTAAGTTTATTGAAATTATCTCTCTTGAAGTCCAAGACTCTAGTTTGACTGTGTTCCATTGCTTGTGCTTGCATACGGTTGAATTCTAATATTGCATGATCACTCCCCCACACCAAGGTTCCTGTGGCTTCAACACCTTCTATCATTTCATCTCTGCTAGTGAGAATTAAGTCCAATATGGCTTATCCCCTAGTTCCCTTCCCTACTTTTTGGGAGACAAAGTTGTCTGCTAGGTTTGTCAGGAATCTGTTTGATTTTCCACTTGGTGTAGAGTTTGTCTCCCAGTTGATGTCAGGGAAATTAAAGTTCCCCATTACTATTGTGATATGCTTTCTACATACCTTAGTTAACTGACTAGCAAAAAGTTCATCTATTTCCTCTATTTCATTGGGTGGCCTATAGTATACACCTATGGCAATGTCACCCCCTCCCTTTATATTGATCCAAATGCATTCAAGACAGTTTTCATCATTGTTGTGCTCTATTTCTGTAGAGATGTAGTTATTTCTTATATAGAGAGCAACTCCATCTCCTCTTTTATTTGGTCTGTTTCTTTTAAATAATTTAAATCCCTCTAGCTGTATGTTCCATTTGTGGGTTTCACCCCACCATGTTTCCATAATGGCAACAATATCATATCTGCCCTCATTTACCTGAATTTGTAATTCACCCTGTTTATTGCTCATACTCTGTGTGTTGGTATATAAACATTTGAGTCTTTTATGACTGACCCTACATAACCTGTGTGGTTCCTGAGTTCCCCTATTTCCTTACCAAGCACTCTTCTCCACACCCTCCAGATGTGTTTCATTGCTTCCAATCAAGAAGGTGATTGACCATCTAGGCTGAAAGACTGCTAAAAAAAGTTACAATTCTGGGGTCCAACAAGATGACATTGTTTAATGGAAGCGTCCCCAAACCTGTCCCCCCATAGATGTGTAGGATGAGCAAAGATGGTGGGACATATGAACACTATGTGTTGGATTGATTTTGTGATATCAAGTTGTTTTCAACTCCCACCAATAGCTTGTTTAGAATTCCAAAGAAAAATTGTCACTGCAAGATCAAAGGGGCAGCCCAGGATGAATCAATTGTCCATTCCTCTCCTTGCTCAGTAGTGTATTATGCAGATATCTGTGAACCATGCAGATTATTTTCTTCTCCAGTGATTTGCATGCACAAATGCCAAGGTGACATGACACCAGATCCTGTACATGAATCAATTGTTTTTTAAGATGCACATCTTCATCCTGAACAGGATCCTAACTTTGTGAACACAAATACTGTTTGGTTCCTTCATCTCCAGAATGGGACCCTGTCCCAAGATACTAAAACCCTCTTAGAACTGTAATCTAATTTTGAAATACAAGCAGTTAGTTCACAATAGTAATAGGGACTTGAATTTCTGTCTCTAAGCAATGCAGTTGTAAAGTGCAACATCACNTTCATCCTGAACAGGATCCTAACTTTGTGAACACAAATACTGTTTGGTTCCTTCATCTCCAGAATGGGACCCTGTCCCAAGATACTAAAACCCTCTTAGAACTGTAATCTAATTTTGAAATACAAGCAGTTAGTTCACAATAGTAATAGGGACTTGAATTTCTGTCTCTAAGCAATGCAGTTGTAAAGTGCAACATCACATGACAATACCATTTGCATTCTTTTGTGACTTTTTTTCAGAATCGCATTCTAGCATACACCTCTTGTAGTTCCTACCAGACTTCCATCTCAGTATTGATTCATTCTACCTCTTCATAGCTTCTATCATTTCACTAATTTTGAGTGTGATCATTGAAAAGAATTAAAACTCATTTAGTTTAATGACCAAGACCTTTCCCCTCCACCAAAGAAAGATACCAATCACCAAGCTTGTCATTGCACAGCTTAGTTTTTATTTTTGCAGATAAAATCTGTCTCTTCTCAGTCTGTGAAGTATTAGCTATGGTTGTGAAAAGGGAGCTTTCCAGACAGGAAGTGCAGATCAGTTGGAACTGATGGTTCTCTGAATCCAGGAAACATAGTTGCAAACTTTAGTGTAGACACCAGGCTTGCCTTTCAGAGCACATCCCACGCCCCAAGAGACAACTCCTTGGAGTGCCCCATTGCAGACAACTGGGCCACCAGAGTCTCCCTGGAAAAGAAACGATGAACATGTATTCCACAAGCAGGATATTAAGTGAGGAAAGCTAATTTGCATTATTTCAGACTCTGGTGGGTGGAGACAAGGAAGAGATAGCAGAAGTAAAAAGGTCTTCCAATGGAATTGTGTCAAACTATGAAGATTCTTGTCATCAGGACTACTATATTGCTTCCAGCTTGCCTACAGTTGCAAGGGGGGAAGGGGAAGGTTTGTTTCTATCAGCGTGGAGAGATGTTTTGTCAAAGAGAGACTTTCTTCTCATAACAAACGCTTGAAGATTAATTGGTCAATGTACCTGGGCTGTTAGAG